AGGGGTTCAATTCCTGGTCGGGTCATACCAAAGACTTTGAAAAAATGGGACCCAATGCCTCCCTGCTTGACACTCAGCATTAAGGGGTTGGATTGAGGGGTTAAACCACCAAATGGTTCCCGAGCGCGGCCGTGTCTGCAGCTCACCGCTCCCCCAGGGGATGGGTCAAATGCGGAGAACAAATTTTGCACACACACCAGTGTGTGTGTCCACTAGTTGGACTTTAACTTTAAATTTAAAATCCTTTAAAATGACACCAGAAGAGGCACAAGCCTGATGGAGGACTCACATTTACTAACTTGGGTCAGACCCAACCACAGAAGAGCTGAAGCTGGGCGGTAAACACACACAGGTAGTTCTGATAACACCTGAGCTCCATGACGTCTGAGACTGATGCATCAGTGTTACAGCGGGACTAAAGACATGATCAGGAACAGGTTACAGCTGGATGATCTAGGAAGGTAGAAGATCAGGACGTCTGAGCGGTGAACAGGTGAGCGGACCTTCAGGACGTCCCGCTGTCACGCTAAGAAGATCCACACCTGCAGCCGTAGATATTCATCACGTCTTCCTCGTTCTTCACGGCCGTGATGCTCTTGGATGAAAACATCTGCCTCTTTAGCTCCTGATCAGCTGATGACAGCTTCAACACACCGCGCTGCTTAACGCACGCATTTCCTTATCAGTAACAGAAACCACGTTTTGATAAAAGAAGACGGTAATTAATTAGTTTGCTCGTTACTGAAAGAAATATTTTTTAGTAACGCGGTTATTTTAAATGGCGTTACTCCCATCACTGCTCTGTTGTGTCTACAGCAGGCAGAGACTGAGACCGTGAGGGTCTCCGCCCACCCGGCCAATCATCATCGTGTTTGTAAGCGCCTTACCGACACCTCTCTCTCCCTGGCTGCAGCTGAAGTGTGGCGGTCAGAAAGCCTCACACTGCTGCTCAACGTTCGACAAGCACATAGTAACGCACAACCTCCCGTCCCCAGTAACGGTAACGGCAGTGCAACGGTGGGAAAAGTAATTAATTAGATTATTCCCTTACCTAAAAAAGAACGCCGTTAGTTATGCCGTTATACTTAAACAGCGTTACTCCCATCACTGCTCAGGAGTCATGAAGGCAAAAGTTACAGGAAGTAAAGAAAACAAGACCGGTGCTGGAAAAGGCAACGTTAGGATATGAAACGGCCTCAAGTTGTTCACATTAACTAATGGAGGTGTGGAAAAGCGTAACGTTTGTTTACTAAAGTAAATGTTTGTCCACCTTGTTTATAGCAGGGATCAAAGACAGCCAGGTCGTTATCTGAGAGGGGAGGGGGTCCCTCGTCCTTGGAGGACAGGGCCCGGTCTTCCTCCAAACCGTCAAACAGAGAGTCAAACTCCTCTTGAGCCGCTGCTGATCGATGGAGTCTCACTGGAGACGGCTCGGGGGAGGAAGCTGGAGCACGAAACGAGAACAAACAGGTGAAAACGACAAGACAAGAAAGAAAAGATTTCTACGCATTCTAACATCTATACCCCGATCTTCTGGTTCTGCGTCGCTAACATCTTCTTCTTCTTCTCTGGGACATCTCTCCACCTCGCTGTAGGCCTCAGCAGCTAGCTCCGGTTCCCCCACCACTAGCCTGATGTTGGTGCCCAGGTCCTGGGGTAAGGTGGGCGCCTCTCTTCCCTCCTCCTCTTCAGCAGGCTCACAGTCTGAGGCTCTCCGCTTGGGCAGGGGGATAAGCGGGGGAGGGAGAGCCCCACCCAGGGACAGGGGAGAGGAATCAAGGGGTCTAGTGACTTCTCCACCCTGGAGGAAGGGAGAAGTGACATGACAACAGTCACAGTACAGCATTTCTATGAGAGACTAGTTTATTTTGCCCTCCTCACCCCGAAGAAGTCCTTGAGCTGTGGGCTGTTGTAGAGCGCGGGTATGCTGGCGGTGAACAGAAGCATGGCTTCTGCCGCCTTCCTCCTCTCCTCAATCACAGCTTCGTCAAACCTTCCTGGAGCAAACAAAGGAAGGGTTGATGAACTGTAGATAGACGACCTACTAAGCTAGTGTTTACTCTTTCAGAGCCGCATTTTCCATCTCCACCTACAAACTTCCCCTTTGGTTACCACAGAGGGGGAGATGTCACAAGAACGATGGCGGCAGACCGACAGGAGCAAGCAGCCCTTCTGTCTGATCCTGACGCAGCTCTGAATGAAACCAGTCCGCTGCTTGTAACCGTCCTCGCTCCACGTACCAAACACCTGCGCTCGTGGGAAAGCTGGGAAGTCCTCGTGCCTCCTGAACAGGTTCCTGTGCGTGTAGACCAGCTCTCCGTGGAGCTTCTTCAGCTCTGAGAACCTCTTCCACACCACCACCTCCTTCACGTCTTCGGGATGACGCTTGGACACAAACTGCCAAACACATTCAGAAGTGAAGATGGATCCTTTCTGCTCCAGAGCATTAAAGAGGTCATGAGGGATCAGGAGCTCAGTCACGAGTTCTCTCTGTGTTCGCCTCGCTGGCTCTGCTAAAGGATCCGCTGTTTGTTTTCATATCTGAGCACGGATCGGATATCTGTCTGTTTTACTCAGGTAACTTGTTTTTCTGTTCTGTTACAAACGTAAATGGTGTCAGAAACTCCATTTAGCGTTATTAGAGTTAATTACAGTGTAACTACAGTCCCCGAAACGGCAGATAAAAGGATAAAGAGCAGAAACTAACCCGGGCTGACACTCGGTACTCGGTGTGCCCCTTCTCGTGTGTCCGCGGGTCAGTCACCGTAAAGAAGCGATAATAGTCTTCGCTGACTTTCCTCGACATGTTCTCTGTCGGTTCGGTTCTGACTAAATAAAACTCAGAACCACAACGGAACCAGTCCGAAATCCGTGGAGACGCGCTCTGTTGTGATGCTGCTTCAGTTACTACGCGCCACGGACACTTCCTGGTTGGGTACGTCCGCAAAACGCGATGACGTATAATGGAAGCGACGTCGCAAACTACAATAGACCGTTCTCCTTGGGCCCAAATTCTTGCCTCTTATATTGCTAATAGTCCTATGAAAGGTATAAACATAGCAGACAGAGAGGTTGTCATCAGCCAGCTGGCAGATGATACCACCATTTTTCTTAAAAATGCTAGTCAGGTGTCAATTGCCCTGAAAATTTTAGATGACTTCTCAAAAGCTTCTGGATTCATATTAAATTTAAACAAATGTCACTTATTACCTATCAACAATTGTAATGATCATAGTATTTGTAATATAGCTATTCAACACGAAGTAACATATTTAGGCTTGATTATCTGTAAAGATAAAAAAACCAGAATTACCTCTAATTTCTCTCCAATAATTAAAAAACTCAATCTAAGTTAAATCAGTGGTTACAAAGAGATTTAAGTTTAAGAGGACGAGTGTTGCTCTCCTAAGCAGAAGGTTTGTCTCGCCTGACTTATGCTGCCACATCTCTGCATGTGGACAACAGAACTTGTGGGGAAATTGACCGAATGCTCTTCAACTTCTTGTGGAAAAACAAAACACATTACATTAGAAAGAGTGTAAAAATGAATGACTATCAACATGGAGGACTCAATATCTTGGACTTCACTACCTTAAACTACACGTTTAAAATTAAATGGGCAAAACATTTTCTTAAAAATCCTGTCTCCATTTGGAATTTTATTCTTCACCATATCTTCTCTAAATTTGGTGGTCTAACTTTTATCCTGGGTTGTGACTACAATGTAGGAAAGCTGCCAGAAAAACTTTCAATGTTTCACAAACAAGTTCTATTAGCCCGGTCACTGATTTATAAACATAATTTTACTCCCCATACATACTTGATCTGGAATAACAGGAACATAGTGTATAAAAACAAGTCATTGTTTTTCTCTAATTGAGTTGAGAAGCAGATAATTTTTGTGAATCAGTTGTATAATACTAATGGACAGCTCATGTCTTACACAGAACTCCTAAACACATATAAATTTCCAGCATTTCCCAAAGAATATGCCACACTGTTTGCTGCAACTACCATCGGTGTTAGAATGCTTTTTAAAGGTGTTCTACCAGTTGTACCGCCTATTTCTCCTCCCGACCCCGTGAACACATACGTGGGAAAAGTTTGTCTTATCGAGCACAAAAACAGTAATAGGAATATCCGTGCTTCATTTCAGAGAGAATCCTTATCTGTTCCATATGTGATTTTTTATTGGAATTCCTTTGTCACTGACGTCAGTTGGAAAAGAGTATGGACCATTCCTAATAAGTATTTGGTGACAAATAAGGTCAAAGAAGTTTCATTCAAAATACTACATAAGTGTTAACCAGCTAATCACTATATGACAAAGTTTAATAGGGACATTGATGTGAATTGCTGTTTTTGTGGAAGCCACCCTGAGACCGTTCAGCACCTCTTCTGGATCTGTTCACATGCTACAACGTTTTGGAAAGACTTTAGCAGATTTATTATCGGACAGCTCTGCAAGGACTTTGTTTTAAAACGGGAAAATGTTGTATTTTGTTTTTTTCGCAAGCACAGAAAGGAAGATGTACACTTTGTTATAAATTTGTTAATTATTCTAGCTAAATTCTATCTCCACAAATGCAAGTATAGTAACCAAAAACCTAATTTCAAGCACTATTATAGTGACACTCTATCTTACATAAAATTGATTAGTGGATCGCTAAATAAAAAAGCTTTAAAAACTATAACTATTTGCACTACCTATAATTTATTTGGATGTGTGTAACATTTCTGTAGTACACCCCCTGGCATAGGTTTCATCTTCTTTGTTCAATTTTGTATGCAATTTGTTTGTATACTTATCACCTTGTTCAATAAAGTTTTGAAAAAATAGCAACAAAGAAAAAACGTCCTACCCGTTGTTGTTACTGAGCATGTGCGCGCATGCGCACAACACAAAAGGGAAATGCTTCTCCGTTGTCATATTTGCAGGAAAATAGATAAGTAGTAAGTATTAGTACTTTTTATTGACGTTGATACTTGTTTTTTTTTTTTTTTGGTTGGGGTTTGTGTCATGTAAAACACCGTAAAATTATCCTACGGGTAGGTCGTTTTGCCAAAGTAGGACGTTTTCTCAGAACGAACAAAAACCTTTTACCGATTATGAATCTTTATGAATTCATGGAAACACGTAGCCCACTCTAATATATAATAACAAAGTGAAAACAAAGCGAACATACAATCAACAAACGTCCACGTACAACCCAACCACTGATTGCTATGTCACCATGACACCGCATTTAGAGACTGCGCGTCTGCGTTGTTTTGGAGCTTCCATCCATCATAGCTTGTTTATGACGTCATTCCTTTGTGTGCGTGACGTAATCACTACTACTGTTACATACAGAGACACGTCACAGTTCATTTGAGCGAAGAGGCCCGGTTGGAAAGGACGTCACCCGTGAGTACAGAGGTAACATGGCTACTTTTAAACAAGACCTGACAGCACAATTACGGGACAGCCGTAAGACTGTGGATCAACTTAATAGACAGATCAGAATACTAAACGCTGAAAACAAAAAGCTACAGAGAGAGCATTTAAAAACTGTAAAAGATTTAGAAATCTGTCGCAATGACACTTACAAAAAAGTTCAGCAAAAACGTCAGAATGAGATGTCGGATAAACTTAAGGAGAAAAATCAAACGATTCAGAACTTGAAACAGCAAGTTGCTGGATTTGAGATTAGAATTAAAAAACAAGAAACGGATTTCTTGAGAAAAGAAAAACAGCTGGAGATGGCATACGATGTAAAGTTTGACAAAGCACAGTTGATTTTCAAAAACCAGCTGAAAGAAAATAAATCAGTTGTTACTGACTACGAGTCCAAACAGGAGGCAGACAGGATATTTATAAAGAAATTAGCAGCTGAGAAATTAGACTGCGAAAGAGAGTGTAAGGCTCTAAAGGATCAGATTGATGTTTTAAAAACTGACAAGAAAACAGCTGAGCATCAAGCTAATAAAGTTCAAAGAGAAGTAGACCTGCTCAGGTGCGGCATAAACAAAGACTTTTCAGAACTAGTCAAGCTAAAAGAGGAAATCGACAAGAAAGTTACAAAAATTGAAGAAATTGAAGGAGTGTTGAAACAAAAGGAAAAAGAAATCATTGGATTAAAAAGAACCTTACATGCTACACAAAGAGACATCCATGAAAATAATATCAAGGTAAGCAGGCTTGGAAATGTTCAAAGGGATTTGAAACAGGCGGAGGATAAAAATCGTGTCTTTAGAGCCGATCTGCAAGCTGAAAAGGCCCAAGTCGACATCTTGAAGGTGAGCAACGATAAGTTAACTGAAAAATGCGATAAACTGAAAGAGAGTAATGAAAAGCTATCCGCAGAGAATTTGGCGTTACTGCAGACCAACAAAGAGGTCTCTGAAAAGCTGAAAGACAGCGAAAGAACAGCTAAACATTTATCTGAAGAAAACGTGAAGAAAGAAGCAAAAATCGACCAGCTCACAAACGAACTTAGGAACACTAGGACAGCTTACCAAAACGAGAAGAAACTGTGTGACCACGAAGTGAAAAAGATGAAAGAATATACTTATAGCGAACTTGTTGACACAAAAAATATGGCAAACGAAACTGGCATCCAAAAAGTAATTCTCGTCAACCAAAACAGAAAGTTGATGAATCAAATCAGCTGTCTGGAACAGCGCTTGACGAAAGCAACAGAATACATCAAACTCTTGAGTGAAGAAAGGGAGAAACTTCTTCAAGAAAAACACAAATGGTCATTTGACAAAGACCAGTGTTACGCTGAGCTGCAAAAAGTAAAAGGCGACAACAGCTCTCAGAAGCAAGAGATTTCACATCTCAAGTTGCAGGAAAAAATCTCACAGAATAAATTTGAAGAAGATATTCAGTCGGTTCGTCAAACACTCACTCACACAGAATCTGTTCTGGCAAGAGTTGAGGACGAAAACCGGAAACTATGTCAGAGAAGTGAGATTCAAGAAAAACATATTCGAGAACACAAAGAGCAGCTAACCGAGACTAAAAGAAAGTTGGAGACATTTCAGCGCCTAGTGGAGGATAAAGCTGAACAAATCAGAGAACTTGAAAGCCATAACCATGTTGTAAAAAGACCTGTAGTGTTTGGTAATATGTACATTGACTGCATGCGTGACAAAATTCCTGTCAAGACAAAGTGTTTGGAGTGTACCAAACTTAGAAGAGAGCTTAGCCAAATTAATCAGGATTTTACAACTAAGCTAGAAGAAAAGGAGAAAATGATTCATGAACTGAGGTTAAAAAATCACAAGACTTTTGATCTGAGAGCAGAAAATAACGACCTTAAAAAGCAAAATTGTAAACTGCAAGGAATCAGCACTGCTTTAGAGTGGCGACTGCAACAAGTCACTGACGCAGAAGACAAATTAAAAGCTGAGGACAAACCAAAGCCAAACCAGCCAAAGAGATTGTTGAGGCGCCCTTCACTTGAACCTGCTCGTCTAAGAAGGCCAACTGACCATTTAATGTAGGAAAACCCTATCCCCGGTTGAAAAAAGCGTTTTTAGAAGCTTTGCTGAGAAAGGCCACTTTTTTCTAGAAAAACTGGCCTTCGTGTAGTTTCAAACGAAATATCCACAATAAGCATTTAAATAGTATTTTCTGGACAGCATTTTATATGGAGTAGAAAATAAAGAATCGTAAGACTTTTGATCTGAGATCAGAAAATTACGACCTTAAAAAGCAAAATTGTAAACTGCAAGGAATCAGCGCTGCTTAACCCCCAAATTCCACTACCTCCGCTCCGCTCCGACACGAACGCCGGAGCAAAATCGGTCCCGTTGTAGTCAATCAGAGCAATTCCACTACTGCGGCCGTGCTCCGGCAGTGCGGCGCCGTGCGCCGCCCTCTGTTCTGGCGTCTGGCAAAAATAGAATCGATCCTATTTTCGCCAGACGCCGGAGCACCTCCGCAGTAAATGGAC